TGTCTGGAAATTGTTTGTGGAACAATTGCTACGCCTACGACTGCTTATATTGTTGAACGAGTCACTGTGGGGTCCACAAATGCTTGCCGCATGATCCTTCGATCCTCTCTCCTCGTGGTCTTCCTGATCGCTACAGACCCGGTTTTCCGCGCGTGGGTACCTTCTCGTGTCCACTGCTTCCAACAAATTCTAACGCACACTCCGAACGATCCACCTGGCCAGCGACACGGTGCGTCGGCCGGCCTGCAGTTTTCATCCCAATGAGCAGGCCTCTCTCAAACTTGCTTAACTGTGAGAAATGTCTTCTATCACGTTAACCTGGCATGTTTCGCTTACCAAAGTCTTTCTACAATCGTTGGGTAATAGTCACGTTTATGAATCTTCGAATTTGCGCTGGCTTATATAGCACCCTCTTCCTGATTGTACCGCCACATCGGCGTGTATGAGCATGCGTATTGTCACAAAACTTGGATTATTTGCATATCACATTACGCTGTACTTATTTGCAAAGTTTCGCGATTGTACTTAGCTTCCTTCTTGGGTCCCTATTTTCAATGTTCCTGAGTATATATAACATATATATATATATTATATATATATAATATATATATATAATATATATATATAACATTATATATATATATATATAATATATAACATATATATATAATATATTATATATATATAATATATATATATAACATATATAATATATATAATATATTATATTATATATATAATATATATATATAATATAATATAATATATATATATATATGTAATATAAAATAGATATTTATATTTTCGTGTAACACTAAAACTTACATGATGCAAAGTGAATGCAATATTTCGTCTCATCTTTTCCTTCCAGATATATTCTGTTTAGTATTACAGAACCCCCATTAATCATGGCTTTTGGGAAATTCTCTATTCGCTTTTCCCTATTTAAATATCCTATTCCCCGTAAGTCGGAGTCTATTTGCCTGTCACCAAGCATTGTGACATGTTGTCCCAGTGTTCTCCCTTTAAAGAAAGTCCCGTTCCTTCAATAAAGACTTGGAATTCCATAGTTCTGATTACTGGGTCACTGCATTATTAGATATGCACAGTTGGACTCCAATTTAACGAATTCATGGGACCTAGCATTTTAATTGTTAAATCGGGGTTATTCGTTATATCGGGGTCCAAACAAAATACAAATTTTTTTGAATTTACCTTTTGGAAATTCTACAATAAGCAACTACAAAAAATATTCCTAGTTGTAAATTTTGTACTTTTTATTCAACAGCTACTAGTGTATTATTACATGTGAGTCATTTGAAAATTTTAAAACATTGACTGATAGATACATGGAAATCTTTCTGATTCCTGACTGTGGAAAGAGTTCCTTTTTCGACTTTATACATAGAAGAAAATGCCGTGTCATTTATATCCTACTGCATAAGTTATGTTTTCAAACAATGTCAAACATTAGAACATGTAACAGTTTTGATAAGAGTTTCTGCATCAGAATCGCTCTTCATTGGCACCGATAAATCAACAGTTTCCTCAACTTCAGTTGCACAGGCATGTAGTCCGCCATATCAAATGTAACAGAATCGTTAAAATTTTTAAATATTCCTTGCAGTATGGAGTGGTATGAGATAAAAAGGAGTACAATTCTGTACAATTCAAAACTAACACGGTAGGTTACACTTAGGACTCGTCTGCACCTGTTAAGTCTAATAACACTCTACACCCTATGCCGTCGAAAGTTACTTCTTGCAAAAAAAAATCTTTTTTCTGTTCCGTACAAAAAGGATATTATTTGAAAAAAATCCATTTTCGAACATAAACTAATAATTTTTTTAACTGTTGAAATAATTCGTTAATTCGAGGTTTGTTATTCGTTAAATAGTGACTTTTGACTTCATTTTAAACGAAGAAAGAGAAAAATTCGTTACATCGCTAAATTTGTTAAATCGGGGTTGGACTGTAAATTAAAATGTTTCCAAAAAAAAAAGAAAATCACACTAGAAGCTAACAAGAGGACTATTGAAGATAAGATTTCATTTGTTACCGTCACATGTGAGAATCCCACTGGGTTCCACCTTGGACACTAAGATTGAATTGAGGCAAAGAACTTCCAGGCACCATTTTCAGAATAAGAAATTATATTTATTCACTTAGTTCAAATATCAACCTTCTAATTACAAATATTCAACTATAAGTCTACGTCAAAGGGATTTACCTTTACTATTAAATTAAATTACGAAATTTGTAATTAATCAAGTACTAAGATTAATATCGAACGGGTTTACCGGAGTAGGAGGTCCGAGAAATACACGCAACTTGAATTATCAACATTCATTAAAGATTAACTAACTTTATTATCTATTAACGCTTGTGGTCAGATAGACTAAGTTAGAATACATCACCTGACTGTAATGTAGTTCTCTCCAGGTAGGTTAATCTCTCTAAGGTTTCTTCGCTGAATAATAACAGCGATACTATAATCTCTTAATCCACTTGAATCGTACTAACCTCGTCACTACTGCTCCTGGCACAATCGCCTTCTCAAAGCTAACTCTCAACGCTTTCCTTAAATACCCTATCCGATTTGCATATCCCATTTTCTTCTTTTAGAGCTGATTGGAAATATCCCCAAAGACGCCTAAGAGTAATAGTGGAAAAGTGCCGTAAAGATTCGTCACACATAACGAGCTGGTGCCTATTTACTCCAACTTCTATGTTACAGAAAGTTTTCGAGCTCATTTAATCCATCTCAAGTGACATCAGGATTCGAACATCGCTAATTACCACTGATTCAGTGTTCATTAACACTGCACTTTGAAGCAACATGAGGAAAAAGGGCGATGATCTCCTAACTTTGAACCAGGATCGAGTGACGAGTCCTACACCTGAGCTGGTATCCTATACGTAGGCATATCCATGTCAAGAAAAGTATTTTGAGCTTAGAATTTAAATTTGGAATGTAGTATTCCTTTCATCAAATTTTATCATGCTCTAAAGTAAGAATTGAAGCAAATATGCATTGTCTTAATTAATAAAAATATAAAGAGTAAGATCTTAAGTGTTTGAAAATTTGGTTCACACACTAAAAATTTGGATATAAGAATAATTATGGAAAATTAAGTCAAGTGAATATTACATTGACTTGAATTTAAGTAAAACACATGTATAGAAACTTCATTACATTTCAAAATAAAAATATATCAATATTTCCACTTTTCCTGTCATTTTAAATGTTGATTAGTTAATTCTTTAAGTAAAAATATTGAATTACATTATTTTCTTTTAAGTAACGCATGTGTCAACACTAGTAATTAATACTCAAAAGGTAATATGTAGTAAACAATGTTAGCTGAGAATTAACAATAAAAAAGACGTGTTTTAACAGTAATCCAAGAAATAAAATCCATTGATTCAAAAGTTTTAAAATAATTTTTTTACATATATAGAGTGCAACGATATAAAATTCTAAAAAAAGTTTCCTTTTTTTTTAGACTAGAGAATAAGTTTAAAAATTTAAAAATATATTTATTTTCTTAATTAAAGAATCGAAACTTTAAGATTCAAATGTAAGGATTTCTATTTAAAAGTATTGGTGAGCAAGTTTTGATTGCAAGTAGCTCTGATATTTTGGAAGTTACTATTAAAACATTTAAAAAACGTCCGAACCAACAATTACGAAATTATTTTTATTTCGCTTAACTCTGTACTTACAATAATAAACAAAACATTTTAAAAATTGTATACAAATTTAAATTCAACAAGTAATAAAAAAAATAAGTCAATTCCTACTTAGATCAACAAAGACATTTTTTTATTTTAGATACTTTTTATTAAATAGTTGCAAATAGTATAAATATGTATATATGTCACAGGAAAATGATGAAATTAGGACTTTCGTCGAATCCCTAAGGGAGATGATCAATTCACGCAAGCTGATAAAATAAACGTCCCTTATGTAAGCAAGTCATTTGATCAAATTCCCGAACTTTTTTAGTTAAATGATGAAATTAGGACTTTCGTCGAATCCCTAAGGGAGATGATCAATTCACGCAAGCTGATAAAATAAACGTCCCTTATGTAAGCAAGTCATTTGATCAAATTCCCGAACTTTTTTAGTGAAATGATGAAATTAGGACTTTTATGGAATCCCTAAGGGAGATGATCAATTCACGCAAGCTGATAAAATAAACGCCCCTTATGTAAGCAAGTCATTTGATCAAATTCCCGAACTTTTTTAGTGAAATGATGAAATGAACAAGTCAGCCATTTTTTAAAAAAAAGATATGGAATTGCTATTTAAGGGATCGATAGTACTACATGTGTATGGTTAGGAAGTACAAGGATTCGCCCCCCAAGGTGTCTTCCCCTGGACAGCATTTTTCCAATGCAAATCCTGACTAGTTCCTTTCATCATTTCACTGAAACAGGTCAGGGTTTCATAAAATCACTTTCATCATGGAACTAACCTTGAAGAGACGTTATTTTAACATCTCCCTTCAATTGATCCTATCCCTTAGGGATGATGTGAAATCCCTAAGGGATGGGGGGGGTCACCTGGGGGCCGAGTCCTTGTACTTCCTAACCATATAAGTAGTACTATCGATCCCCTAAATATCAACTCTATATCTTTAAAAAAGGGCTGACTTGTTCATTTCATCATTTCTCTAAAACAGTTCGTAGATTTGATCACAAATCACTTACATCAGGGAAATGACCTCAAAGAGACGTTATTTTAACATCTTGCGTGAATTGATCATCTCCTTTAGGGATTCGACGAAAGTCCTAATTTCATCATTTTCCTGTGACATATACATATGACAGAATCACAATATTAAGTGACAAAATAGAAAGTGATTTTCCCTTTTCTTTTCTATATAGGGTGATGGACTAATTTTATTTGTTACTATTTATTCATTAACTAAATTTAGTTATTCTAATAAAATAGTATAGTAAAAAAAGAAATCACACATCCTCAGAAATTAGGCCATCCCAGGTGGGATTCGAACCCACTATCTTTGGATTAGAAGCCCAACGAGATATTCACCGCTTTATAGGGACGCAACGAAAGCTTTTCCTTTCTATATATGCTGTTGGACTATTATTTTTTTATTACTATTTATTCATTTTTTAATTTGATTGATGAATTAATATTTGAAAAGAAAAACTGTTTTAACACCAAGTGTCATTCATTACAAGTTTAAAAAAATGTATTTAAACTTGAATGGATGAATAGAGAAAATATTTTATCAACGTGATTGAAAATTTGAACAATGGGTTTATGTGGGATTCGTGTTCTTTTAGTGAAAGCTTGATAATGAATGTTTATTTTGTAAGCTGAAAGGTTAACCCTTTCTAAGTTCTTGTTCCCCCCTGAAGGTACTATATTTTCAGATTCATTGCAAATTTGGAATCTTTTATTATCATACCTTTGACTAAATTTAAGTTTTCAAAATAGATATTAAATATTAAATATTGGGATATTTTGCATTTATGTGATTAAATTCTATTAATTTAAAGATATATATAATTCAGACACACACACACAACATAATTTCTGGCACTGCGACACTGCTTATATGTACATTATTTGGATTGAAAGTATGTCTGAAACATTTGTATTACTGTTATAAATTAAACCATCATAATTTATTATTTACCTATCATTAACTTACAGACCAACTAGAAAAATTAAGATAAGGTAATTCAAGGGACATTTCCATTAAGAGCATGAAGATCTATGTTCCGTAAAATAACATTTTAACCTTTCGACGCTTTAAAATAGTGACCGAGAAGGCACAAATGGGAGAATAAACTCCAGGGCTAGGTTTTATAGAATATTCTTTTTTTCGATTTCTCTATGGTGAGTCAGGGGGAATGCATTAAAATACAAATATCAGTCAAATTTATATATATATATACACTCTGTCGCAAAAAAATATATGCACCCAGAAGAAATTGAGCTACATTCACGAAATTTGGTATGCATGTAGTGTATATGAAAATAAACAAATGATTAAAAATTCAGAACAAAATATCATTTTATTAAGCGGTTACAGCTTGCAAAAGGTTAAAAATCAGTAAGTAGTAAAGCCACCTCTGGCAGCTATACAAGCCGAAATTCGGCGTGGCATCGATTCAATTAGATCACTTATGACCCCTGTGGAAGATCCTGCCATAGTCTTTGCATCTGCGCAGTTAATTCTCCTGTATCTCGGGACGGCTGCAGTTGACTTCCAGCGTCCAGACATGCTCTATTGGCGAAAGATCTGGTGTCCTGGCAGGCCATGGTAGGACGTCATATCCTTGAAGACATTGTTGGGAGAGTCGCGCAGTATGTGGACGAGCATTATCCTGTTGATAAATGGCACCTGGGCGACTTGATAGCATGGGTAGCACAATCGGCGTTAAAATATCGTCCACGTATCTGCGAGCTGTCAAAGTGCCTTGAAGGACCACTAAAGATGATCGTGTGTCCCAAGAAATTGCTCCCCACACTGTCACACCTTGTGAAATTGCTGTATGCCGCTCGACAATAAATGCCGGATCGGACCGCTGGCCGGTGCGCCTCCAGACACGTGTGCGGTGGTCATCAGCACTGAGACTGAATCGGGATTCATCACTGAAGATGACACGTCTCCAGTCTGTCACACTCCAAGTTGCCCGAGGTCGGCAAAAATCCAGTCGACACTGCCTATGATGTGGGGTCAGTGGTAAGCGTCTTAGCGGACGTCGGCTCCTCAAGCCAACTTCGGTCAGTCGTCTCCTTATGGTTTCTCTTGATGGCACTGGATGTCTGGAAGGAGGTAAGTGGCGTTGAATCGATGCTAGCGACGTTGTTGGTGCCGAAGTGGCCACTCTTCTGATTGCACGATCCTCGCGATCATTTGTGTTCCTGGGACGTCCTGACCCTCCACGACGGTACACTCTGCCTTCTGTGATCCACTGTTGCCAACACCGAGCAACTACCATATCGCTCCGACCGAGGTGGCGGCCGATACGTCTATTCGACCAACCTGCTTCTCTGAGGCCTATTATACGGCCCCTATCAAAGTCCGTCAGCTGCTCGTACTGCCGCCGGTTACGTCTTAGAGGCATCCTAAGTCTCAATATCGTCTATCAAAGTCATCAGATTCGTTTGGATAGCCGTACGGCGCTCGTACTCATGCTTTTAAACTCTCCCAGTTGCGCAACTAATATGCGCATAGCACACTTTAGCCTTGTCTCATTGGCTTCGAAATTTTAATCATTTGCATATCTCTTACCAGACTACATTCTTGCCGAGTTTCGTGATTGTAGCTTGATTTCTTCTGGGTGCATATATTTTTTTGCGACAGAGTGTATATATATATATATATATATATATATATATATATATATATATATATATATATATATATATAGACGCTGGAAACTTTTCAGTTAAGCTAATAAGGAATCTTTGAAAAAAAGACAAATGTTTTATTTCAAAAGCTTCATACAATTCTTTCATCAGTTTTGAATATAATAATAATAATAATAATAATAATAATAAAAATAAAAACAAAGGGAATATATATATTTTTTCAAAAATAACGCCTCCTTATTTTGAAGTGTTTAATACAAAAATATTAATAAGTTGTTTGATCGAATACTTGATTGATTGAAGTCAAAATACACCTTTCAAAAGATAGAAAAATTGACTGAATTTGTGTTAAAGTTCAAAAAAGGTACCTATAAAAATCACCTAAATAAATATAGATGAAACTACCTTCCTACTCAAATTCTTCGATGTAATAATTTTTGGATGTGAAAGATAATATTTACAAAACATGTCGTTGAATAAGTAACTAAAACTTGCAATCAGTAAACTGAATGTTTGAGCATATTTTATCTTTCGGAAAGAATTGAGATATTTTGATTGCTTTCGTTATGGAAAAATATTTTTCATTTCATTTTTTTTATCTGAAAAATAACTGCTTTCAGTAAATTTTAGAGCTTTTAAAATGCTACGGCATGAAGAAAATCCATTGAACAAAAGTAACTTTAGTATAAAAGTTCCTTTTGAAATGATTCTTTTCTCAAGCACAAAAACTTTTAAAAATTTAACTATTATCAAAAAACCCCATGAATGAATTTCTTATTGCGAAAATTATCAAAGATATAAAATTTTATCGGATGTAAAATAGTTTACCTGTTGTTATTTTCCCGGTCTTTTTAAGATCTGTAATTATGTCCTTTGATAGTAAAATTGAAGAAATGCTTCTTGAACCCAAATACAATGATAACTCATCATGTAATTTATGTTTAACCTTAGAACAGAATGATTTTCATTGAAATTATTTGTACTCAATATTTAAGAAAAAGTCAAACCATCAAACTCAAAAATAGATGTTTCAAAATCATACAAACATTGCATTTCAATGTAGTATCTGTTTATAATATTTTATTCTTTTACATGCATTATTTATCGTAAATCTTAAATTTGATGCATATAATTATTTTACTTCTGAACTGCCCTTTTCATTTTCTATTTCATCGATTATTACAATTTTAGCACTCGTTTCATTTCTGTTTAATGAAGTTCTCCCAGGATAATTGTGGTCTCCACACGCTTCAAGTTTCGATTTGTATTAGATGCTTGTTGGATTTTAAGAGGACTTGGTACCCTAAAAATCACAAACCTATCGTTTTTTTTATTTTCATTTAATCTTATTCTTTGCATTATTATCTTTCGATTGATATATCACTTGTGCATGTCGAAAAGTAAGAAGTTGAATAAAACTTCATTTGAAAACAAATTAGGCAATTCAGCCACACCCCCTTTTTAGAAAAAAAAGCTAAAAAATGCGTTATGATAAAAAAAATCTATTTTATAAATAGAAATAATAACTATAAAAAAGAATGTGTAGTATTAAAAGCAGAATATTTCCGAGGCAATACAATAATGTAATTTTTCTTCCTTGTGAAATGTGTGCATGTAAAATTTTTAAATTAAGGCATTTTATATTAATAATTTTATAATTTCAGTTCTTATCCCTGAATTATTTTTCATATAATGTAATTTTTTAATATTATAAGAAGAAAAACAGCTAAAACTTCTATCGTGACAGAAAAAAAAATTTTTAAAGTTTTTCTTGAGTTTTCTTGTGCAATTAGTACTCTCTAAAAGTTGATCATTTATAAAAATGTGTGGGTTGAATACATATGAAAATGCAATTATTTTAAAGAAAAACGTATAAGTAATATCTTAAAGTGGTATTTTAAGTTTAATTAAGCTTATAATAATTATTTTTTCAGAATTATAAACTTTAAAGTGGTTTTCTCAGTTTGTGTTTTTCGAAACCTTAGTGCATTCAAAATGCTACTCCTTCGACAATTATTTACCAATCACTTCAATTTTTTCCTGCGTGTTAAAAATAAAGCATGTAATAAAATTAAGGATCCGTTTTGCTATAAACTGAATACTTTTTTTTAAAAAAAAAAATGTAAGACAGTTGGCTTTTTCGTTGATTTTTAGCCTGTATGTCAACATTTTATTTTTTTTTTCAAAAACGAATGAAGTTATTCTAAAATCGATCCCTAAAGTTGTTAAAAACATCCATAAGAAAATTATAAAAAAATTTCAGGTCAAAAAATTAATTTTTACAAAAAGGGTAGGATTTTAAAATTTTCCCAATTTTCTTCAAAAAATTTAAATTTTTAAAATTGTGTGAAATTATATGAAAATTTTCATCTGGTAACATTTTCTTGAATAGAAATATTATATAAAATGTTAAAATATAATTTTTAAATACGTAAATAAAGAAGTTTGCTCAAAGGGTGCCAAGTCCCCTTAAAGCATCTTTGAGACATAACCTTTTTTGTTTTGATAAGTAGTAAAAGTTTTACTCGTCACAAAGTGCTCGTTTAGTTATTTATTAGCTCAAAATGTTTTTTTTAAACACTCACTCATAAAATTTCATTTGATCATCTTCAATTAATTTAAGCTCTATTGTATTTTCATTCACTTTTCTTAATGCCATAAGCAATAAATTCTAAGTTTTATTTTTAAAAAAATTCAAATAAAACACACCCAGAAA